AGGGAGGCACCCCCATGGGTCTAAGGTATGTCTTTTATGCTTTTGATATTCTATCTAGTAAATTAAGCATTATTGGTTATCTTTGAGAGATATTGAATACTGACTTGATCGTTGGAGTGCCCCCAGGTGGATGAGCCACCGCCGGAAACTCTTCTTTCTGTTGCAGGTCTTCGGGCTTAATCTATTCTACTGATGCTCTCCAGCTGGATACCTGTTTGGCAGTGTGGTCAGAAAATCACCCACACAATTTGGCACCGTCTGTGGGAACAAAAGGAGAATAGATGGCTAACGACAGACCGAAAGAGAAGGTTGGGGACGACACCCCTACTGAGAGTGGGAAACATATTGACCTTGGCGTCGAAGAAAACAACTACAACGAAAAAACTCGTGATAAGAATCACGGAGAAGAGGACGTTGGCCAAAAGGGCGACGTGCCGAAGAAATCAGACCGAAGCAAGTATTATAACGAGGACGACCTCCAGCCACCGTTCCCGTCACAAGATACGCCGATTCCAGCAGCCAAGAAAGATGCCCAGGTAGAGGAGCAAAAGACAACTCCTACGACTCCTCAGCACGATAGGACCAAGGAACATTCTCACTGGCCTTCAAGGGAGGTCGGACGAGGAGAATCAAGAATGAGAGATTCACTGAGGACACATCGCACCAAGGAAGCTAACTCGAAAGAACATCGGCATGTTCAGGGGAAGGACCTCTGTTTCGACGCGACCAATGGAGGGAGGTCCAAAAGGACTCGTAATGACACAGGAAGTAGTGCACCAAAGAGGCTGAAATCCGGAGATAACAGAGCTCCTGGACGAACCAAGGAGGATCTGAGGGATTACCTCCAGAGAAAGCGACAAGATGCCAAGGTAACCTCACCTGTCAAGCCGAGATAACATTGGATATGAGAAGACAAGAGCTTAGCCCAAGTAAGCTGATCCCGAATTCCAGATCTCGGATCCCAGATCCCAGAAGACAAGATCTCGGCCTAAGATGATTAAGTCCGAGAAGAGAAGAGTAGAGTAAACCGAGATTATGTTTAACACTTGTTGAAACTTGAGAAAAGTTTACAAGTTGAAATTAAACCGAGATGATGTTTAACACTTGTTAAAACTTAAGAAAAGTTTACAAGTTGAAGTTAAACCGAGATTATGTTTAACACTTGTTGAAACTTGAGAAAAGTTTACAAGTTGAAGTTAAACCGGAGTCATGATTAAAGGAAGGAATGATATAGGTTTCATCACCTCAGAATGTCGAGGTAATAGAACCTAGGGGGTAGTTGTGGGGACATAATTTTTGAATGACAACACATGGTCGAGGTGTCACCGAAGTGCCAGCCGAGGTGCCACGTGTCCTTGTCATGATGCCGAGATGATCTCAGCTAAGCCGAGGTTATCTGTGAATATGTCGGAATCCGAGATAAGCGGATAAGGAACAAGAGTTCTAGAATGAGAGAAGACTTCAGTTTGGATAAAGATAGGACTCTTAGAGAGTTTATCCTAATCCTACTGGGAGTCCAATGTTAGCAGTAATCCTAAGTCCATTAGAGCTAGGCTTCTATTGGGACTAAGATTATGTTGGCTATAAAAGGGAGGCACTCCCATGGGTCTAAGGTATGTCTTTTATACTCTGTCCAGTGAGTTTAGCACTATTTTCTATCTTTGAAAGATATACTGACTTGATCGTAGGAGTACCCCCGTGGTGGACGAGCCACCGCCGAAAACTCTTCTTTCTGTTGTAGGTCGTTCGGGCTTACTCTATTCTGCCGGTGTTCTCCAGTTGAGTACTAAGTTGGCAGTGTGATCGAAAATTGACACACACAACAAGATAATTTTTATTTTAAGTAAAAATAAGTGGATCATCTGGTGGTTATAAAACCGGCAGAATAGTTTTGGAACCATAGCATCAATTCTGGTCGATCCATTTTGTGGCCATTATTTATTAATTGTTAGTTTATTTTCTTTATCACACAACTATAATTCAAAATTCATTACTAATCAATATGGGGCAAAAATAATTAGGAAGAAAAAAATGAAAGATGCTCCTAATAGGAGTGCTCATACAACCGGTCGAGATCATGACCATCATCAAAGAAATCATATTACTATTAAATATCATTGATATTTAAACCATGTATCACTTATTTCAATAATTAAGCAACAAATTTAAAGTCATATATTTTTCAATTCTGTTTTAAATCCTAATAATAATTATAGGCCTTTTAAAATCAAAGATATTTGCAAACGTTTAAATAAATTTTATTCTAATGACAATATTTTGTATTTGAAATTCCTGTTGCAACAATTTTTGAGTTACATCTTAAACTTCAAAAATTGTCAACAATTTCTGAGTTATGTCAAGTATTTGTAGTAAACAATGTCAATAATTTATTCTCTTATACACAGATTTTCATGAAATTAAGAAGAAGAAAAAAAAGAGAGTTTAAAAATCATATAGCTTAATAATAATAATAAGAGTTTGGTAATGTGATTAACTATGAGTAAATCCCATCCTTAAGTCCAATTCCATCAATATGGCCCCTATTAGATTCAGGTGCTTACATAAGTAATTTCTTTGGAGCTTATGGTGAATTGGGGATGGAGGGTACCCACTCAGATTTTTTTTGAAAAACACTTTTAAAATGAAGTCGACCTGGGTTTGAACAATAATTTGTTAGGATCAAACACACCCAGAAAATTATCTCAAACACACAGAGAACACAATATTTACGTGGTTCGGCCCAATGCCTACATCCACGGACAGAAATGAGAATTTTCACTAAAATGGAGCAAAAATACAAATACAAAGGAGGAGATGAAACTCACTCAACTCACAGCTCTCACTCTCCAATTTCTGATGATACCAACCCCTCCTCACTCATCTCAATTTATAACCAAGAGAGGAGGAGTAGGTGAAGTGCTAGCCATAATTGGCCAAGGTGGTGCCACCCTCACTATCTTCCTTTAGTGAGTTGGTGTAGCCCTCCACCACCTTCTTTTACAACATGGTGCTACCTACACTATGTGAATGGTGGGCTCATTACCATGTGGGTAGTGGATGGAGCCAACAAATATTTCCCCATACAGCCCTTTCAAAAGAGAGCATACGATGCTTCAAGAGACACTCAAACCCATCACAACTCACAATCAGTGGAAGCAATTCAAATGGGAACAGCGAAAACTGGATCAATACAGATGCAGACTGTAAGTACACATATAGCTACCTTTCCCAAAATCTATTTTATGCTCCAGACTTCATGGTGATTATAATTTGATTATAGAAACTAAATTCTGAGCCCACAGAAGTTGGCATTTACACTATCACTTTTGGACTGATGAAGTTGTACATCCTTCAACTTCTATTCTTGATAAGGACAAAGGAAAGACTTAGTTTATGGGTTCTGTCAGATATAATGATCTCCTTCTAACTGGCCTCATGTATTATGGATTTTATTATTCGAGCTGTGCAACTATTTTGGTTATTAGTCTGATTCAATTCTATTATTTGCACTGCAGACTTCGTGCTGGAGCTATAGAAGGAAGAAGCGCTCTTAAAGTGCGGTTATGATATATTGGCATTAAATAGTAATCATTTGGCATTATGTTATAATTTTTAACATAATGCAGTCAGACAATGTCCACTAGGATTGTGCCCTTCAACACCCACAACCTGCAAAAATGCAATCATTTGGCATTATGTTATAATTTTTAAAAGGAATATTGAAATGGCAGTCGAGTTCCTATTTCTTACTTGACCAGGAAAAATTGAAAATTGGCTCAATTTTTGTAAGTCAAGACGCACCCGTTGCCCTCCAGAATGCTCAACACTGTCAGAGAACTAATAACCATATTTAAACAGCAAAGGTGTAGAGATAACTAATAGCATCAAAGGATAAGAAGTAAATGCCACACCTAAAGGTGTTCAACATGTACCATCCAAATGAAATTCATATCCCATCTTAAGATTTATCTAATTGGTAATTCCGATCATGAAAGTTTAGTAAAGTTAAGCTACCAAGGAACTAGGTATATTGAGGCAAAGCATTGGCCAAAATCAAGTGCCATATGCCCAACTGGGGAAAGCAGTAGACAGTAGTTCCCTTGACAACATCTTGAGCACATTGTCTAATAAAAGGACTTTTTAGCTTACACAATAACGAATTAGCTTACACAATTAATGCAGGACACAACACAACATTCCTGATGAACGCCTAGGGGGAAACTAAAGGACAAGACCAATAGTCTTTACCTGCTTTGCAGCAAGACAGGTTTCTCCTTCAAATGGCCTTCTTCTTCACAGCAGATCATGCCAACTGCAAATACACTTTTCTGAAATAATAGGTTCCATGAGAAGCATAGATATGTTGTTTGATTAGCATACAAACTCAAATCAAAACTAAATCATATTAAAAAAATGCCATAACAATTTGGGAAGTGCTAGAAGTTGTACCTGAATTTCCATTTTTTATTTTCTTTCAAAACTACCCTCATTTAAAGGCTCTCTCCCACTCCTCACACCAAACAGTGTAAATTCTCCATTTTTTAAGATTGCAAGTGTGTGCGGATAAGAGAGAGGTAGAAATGGAGCAACTATATTACCTGTGAAGCAACTGTAGGGTCAATTGGTTCCTCAAACAGACCAGAAGCAACAAGTGCTATTGCATGCTTTCTAATGCGATTTTCGAGGAAATTGAACTAGATCATCAAAAAGACAAAGTTAGTACTTTTCACAATAAGTTAAAACATTTGTGCTATGAGATCCATTTAGTACCTTGTCTTCAACCATCGGTGACAACCTCCGGCAACCTCTGATGATCACTTCCGGCAACCTTCGGCGCTCACTACTGTCACTATCTCCTAAGATCTGATGACGACAGGAGAAGAAAAAGAAAAAAAAAAG